AACTGATCAATATTTATTGATTTAAAAATGCAGAAATTAGTCTTTTAATTGAAATTAACTATATGGATGGACAACGCCTAATATTTTCCGACCATAGTTGTATAATTATTAGGCTGATTAATTGACATACAGTGTATGATTATGTAGTTAAATTCAACGAAATTTCTCCGGTCCTAAAGTTGTCCTAAACGCTAATGTAAATTATTTCTTTCTCGGAGTTGAATTCTCACCATTAGAAAGAAAACATTTTTATCCTGTTTGTAACGACTTGATCGTAAATTAGTTATGATGTCTCCTTATCCATGAATGTAGTATGTAAGCTGAACCAATCTTATTTTACGAAATTAACGAAGAGTTTCCGAGCTGTGTGTTCTTCATACATCATTATTGGATAAGTTACTGAGAAAAGACTGAAAGATTTATGCATATATAGGATTAAGGTAGACATAGTTGAATGCATTGTTGATGAATGGAGGATTCGTTTGACCATAAACAGCTGATTTAGTCCTGAGCTATTGTAATACAACTGTAATCTAGATATAACAGTTAGTTAGCTCCATGTTTCTTTAACTCATTGGCGGAAATTGATACTTGTGATTAAAATCAATCAAAGTAAGGTCAAATGAGAGTTCAGTTTAAAATTCTTCAGTTTTACTCACTGAGAAAACTTTTCTGGTGGTTTTCTTTAAGTTGAGGGCAGGAAATTAGTTACGACTTATATTGGCGATTTGAATCTTGTCCACAAGGTCACGTTAACCACTTCTCTCTCAAAATATACGAGTGATTATAACTTATCAATGAAGGTTTTAAAAATATTTCCCACAACAGTTTTATTATTCAAAAGCATTGCGGAAAACGTTTGAAAGATTTTTGTAAAATAAGAATGAATTTGAACATAGATTTTTTTCGATAAACGAGAACAAGACAATGAACCAGTGACACGATAGGCTACTCTGATCCGTTGCCCCAATTAACTGAGATTAAAGTCTGACATGGTGTAGAAAGTATATTCTACAAACATCCAGCAAGCAAAATTCATTCAAGCACACAAATCGCGTTTATTTATACATCATAGAGACGTCCTTGGCAGAGTCATAGAAATATCACACTAAAGTAACACAGTAACCAATCACAACCAAGGATTTTGTTGGTGGGAAATACGATCTCACGGTCAACTGATCAGCCCATACTCGGAAAGATAAATATCGAAAATTAAAGCATATATGAAGCGAGTTCTAAGGATCTGACATCCTCAACAAGTTCAAGGTTGGAAAAGTGAAATATCGCTATTTAATAACTGAACATGACACAAAAAAACGTTTAATTCTTGATTTGAACTATTGAATATGTATTAAAGATTCCCATTGTGAAAATTAGAACAACACATATAAGCGAACAATACTGGTTTCGGTTAGATCGTCATCAGGCTTCACTCTAATATACATGAATATTTATATGAAAATGTTAAACCAATCAATGCAATTTGAGTGATAATCACAATGAAATGAAAAAGGCAGAAGTATAAGTGGATAGTAGGAAGATAGGTGAACCGATAGTAGTAGTTTTACACCTATCCGCTACAAAAGAAATTTGGTTAGATGTCTCACTAACAGAGCAAATATGATATGTTCAGTGGATACTTTAAGTCAGGAGATGGAATTCATCAACGGCTCACTAACCGAGATAAAGAAGTATATGTTTGCCGTAAAAAAGAAGTCGGTGGTTTCGACCGCCCAAAATAAGCCTTTATTTATGAAGTTACAATTCAGTGGAGATGTGGCCTGCGATACTCTGCAGGACAGATTAATAAGAGTAATTAATAGAACATTCAACGCTGCCAAACCTGCATTGACATTCTCTCCAGTCGACCAGCGCTGTCCACCCAAACGAAGGATAAGTTACCTGAGTTGGCCTCCTCTATGTGTATTTACAAATTCAGCTGCTCCTGTGGAGATAGCTATATCGGGCATACTTCCAGGCAACTTACACAACGAATGAGTGAACATCTCCCAGCATGGTTTACGAAGGGTCAGTCAAAAACAGTACGCAGTTCTATCTCAGCACACTTGGTAGATAGTGGTTACATTTTAGATAAATAAATCTCGATCTTTTCGGGTGATCTCTCGTATACCTCCATCATTTTCCAAATGGAGTTCGATCCCGTCTCCTACACATTGCAGAAGTCATAGGAATATGTACATTCAACCCTAATTTATGTGTTCAGAAGAAATTCGTGACACTCCTATCTCTTCTGTGCCCGGATATGACGTAACTAACGATTGACATTATATTTTTTTATTTTATTTTATTTTTACACATTTGCTTATCACGTAATGTTTTTGTTGATTTTTGATGATTATTTGAATTCTATTCATACACCTTTGACCTACTTTAGCTATCATATTTTATAAATTTTCCGACTACTATCTGTTCAGTTATCTGCCTGCTATCCACTTGTACTTTTGCATTTTTTCATTTCATTGTGATTATCACTCAAATTGCCTTGATTGGTTTCACATTTTCAAATGTTCATATAAATATTCATGTATATTAGAGTGAGGTTGGATGACGATCTCATCGAAAACAATAATATTGTTCGCTTATATGTGTTGTTCTAGTTACTGAATATGTATAAAAGAACTTTATCTAAAGAAAATTCTCTAAAATATTCATGTTGGGGATGTTAGATCTCCAGAATTCTCTTGATAAACGCCTTATTTTGTATTTCACGTTTACGAGCATGGGCTGATCAGTCGACCCTGAGATCACATTTCCCATCAGGAAAATCCCTGGCTGTAATTGGCTACTGTGTATTTTAGTGTGCTATTTTTGTGACTGTCCCAAGGACGTTTCTATGATGTATAAAGAAACGAGATTTGTATGCGCTTGATTGCATTGTGCTTGACAGGTGTTTGTAGAATATACTTTCTACGCTATATCAAAACTTCTCTTTTTGCAGTTTTGGGATCAAGATAGCCTACCTAGACACTGTTTCACTGTCTCGTTCGCGTTTATCGACCAAAGTGAGCCCGTAATATATAGTTTCAAGCGTACCTCGTGACGAATCTAACAATTCACAATTGAAAATCTTGTTTTTCTCTCCTAATCTAAACGCTAAACAGAATAAACAGCAAAAAACGTTCCTCTAAGGTTTAGAAAATATTATTAATTTAGTAATAACTACACACACACACACTGTAGTACTTGCATCTACAGAGCTGAGTTGAACTATGTGGGTTTTTAGATCGATGTTTTTTACCAACAAAATATCAACACAGCCAAAAATTATATCATGTGATAAACTACTATAATTGTTTTTTTTTCTCAATATGTGAATTTCACCTGTCTATCAAGAATGATGACAGTTTGCATTTCCTCTGTTCACAATATCTTTCTACTTTGCTATTTTTTTTGATTAGGAAACAATGCGTTGGACAAAGTTGAATTCCATCGGTGATTAAAAATGACTAGTCAACTTGTTTGTGATTGATTCTGTTGGGCAGATTATAAGACTGAACAACGTCGGGTCTTTTATTATTGTATGACTGAACACACACAATCTAACTTAGCGAGAATAGGTTTATTATTTCACAGAAAACAGATTTTAACTCAAGTTGTCGATTATTATATGTACCGAATACACACAGACTCACACAACTTGTGAAAGAGTTTAACACAGTGTAGTTCTTGTTTTGATCAAACTAGTTTCTTTCACAAGACTTTTTTCTTGTAATGGTACAGGTGCGCATCCACTCTTTTGCGTTCTCTCTCTAATTCTAACCTTCTGAATTCTTCATAATCTCTATCTTTCTCCTTCTAAATTCGCTCCCTAATCTTCTCCATTACTGTTAATAATTCTACTATCGCTAACACTCTTGGATTTGAACTGACAGTTGCGTCTCTGTGCTGATGTGATGTGGCAACCTGAACTGATGTACTTACGTATGAAGTTCTGCTTTGTCTCTGTCTACAAGACATTTTCAGCTTGGATTGACCCAGTTAACTGACAATTTTCAGAGTCTACATGAAAGTATAAATGTTAGGATATTCATCCAATATCCTGACAGAATTGTTGGTCAATTCCTATTGTTTAATTCCTATTGGTCAATTTTATGGTCGTCCAAATTATCAATGTCACGTGCTCCAATCTTGTTTCTTATTTGTTGTCCTGAATATCGATGTCACTTCAAATGTTGCTTCCTAATGGTCGTCTTAACTGTCAGTGTCACAGAATTCAATGCCGTTTGCTGTTCGACCAAAATGTATAAGTACGCATGATCTGTAACGTTTTGGGACCAGGACCCGGTCCCGGATTCCTAGTCCGTGATCCTGATTCTCTTCTGGATTCGGACCTCGTACATTCTGGATGCTTGTGGAATACGCGTTCTACTTCATATCAAGTCTTCTTATTTTCACTCAATATGGGGGTTGGGATAATAGGATTTGAGTAGCATGTGGTGTCACCGGATCCTCGCTCTCATGTTTCCGACTAGGTAAACTCGTAATAGTTCAAGTATATCAAGTTTACGTGTTTACGTGCAGGCGTAACACTAAATGAATATTTGTAACCCCCTCTTTGTATTTGAGACGTCAATGTCAGTAGGAAGCACAGTTAAGTCAGGTTATCAATGCGCCTGAATCAAATATTTAGTTAAAATGATTGACTAGTAACTTTGTTTGGCAAATTTAAATCAACATTCATTGTGACTGACAGTTTTTTTATATGATAAACAGTTTTGAACAGTGAAATAATGTTTTAGGAAATGTGATGCTTATGCATATCGGCATGTTAAAATACAATGTGACATTGCACTGTAGAAAAATCAATCAATTATCTCTTGTGGTCGTTCAATATTCCAGGGTTATAAATCAGGTTTGTTTTAATTTAAAAGGTAATACAGTTAAAATTGGTCAGAGTGGGACATTTCAATTAATACTTTAGTTTTTTCACTGTCAATTCTGATCTGTTACGGCTGGTAATATTTTGTCTTATTTTACAGAGTACATCACATGAACAAATCAGTTCACAAACACCACTGAAAACAAGACATTCTCATTCGAAACTTCATAGAAATATTAAAAGCAATGAAATCGATGATCAATGGATTTTCAATCCACTTCATACAAAGCCACAACATCAACCTGACCTGGTACCTGTAATGAGTCATAACAATAGATATTATGATCGATCTTTGTCTGGACTAGATGTTGCAATGCGCAAATCTCAATCAAAATCACGGAGACATTTGGAAAATAGAGCAGAACTGGATATAGATGCTGGCAGTAGTGTATTTGCTAGATCTGTCTCGGCACATCCAATTCTTATGAATACACCACAATTGCCACCGAAAATTTATAAAGTAAGTTGTTGAGATGTGATTATTTGTCTCTTCAATAGGCATTTTTGTCAATAATTTGTGGTGGCCGACTCCAACATGTTCTTAAGCTTGGTAATTATCTCGTCCAGATAATCATCACTTAAATGGCGTCTGACGGTTTTGAAAATCAGAAGGTGAACTTGGATTGTTGAATACGTTTATTTTTAACACACCGCAAACAGAACAACAGACTACAAGCGATTAAAGATAAAATCGTCATGCGAACGCCGGAAAGCGAGAGAGGGAACGGATGAAACGATGTGGAGAAGGCTAGTGAGCCAACTCCAAGAGATAAAGTATGACTAAGAATTTATAGTCAGACAAATATAAGACAGACACTTGACCGACGAGATAGGCATGCACACACATATGAATAAAAGCGACAAATGGTTGACAAGGTCAAAGGACAAGTGGACAAGTCACGTGGGCTCATATAAACCAGACAATAATAATAAGAACGAATGGTACATATGAATTGTTGCAATACAAATGGCTTGG